GTGTAAGCTGAGCAAAGAAACAGCAGTGGTGTGGAGGAAAGGAACAGAGACCCTCAGGGAAGGCCACAGACACAGCCTGCGACAGGAGGGAGCCATGTGTGAGCTGCAGATCCGGGGCCTGGCTCTGGAAGATGCTGGGGAGTACTCCTGCATGTGTGGGCAGGAGAGGACCTCGGCCACGCTGACCATCAAGGGTAAAGAATGTGTCCTCATGGGTTGTGGCTTGGCATTTTTGTGTCGTCCACTGCCACTTTCTGCTCCATTTGTAGTACTGCTCCTGCATGGTCTGTGGCCCTGTCCTCTGCCTGGGGTCCTCCTGCTCTTGTTCATGTGCTGTGTTGTCCTCCCACTGGCCACTTCCCTCCACATCTGTACATTAGTTCACTATCCACACCACGTGGCTATGTGTGTGGTTCTTTGTGGATCACATGTGCCTTTGGAGTCCTCCAGACTGCCCCATGTTCTCAGTGATTGCTTGGCTCTCCTCAGCCTTGCCTGCCAGATTCATAGGAGACCTGAGAAGCCAAGAGGCCACAGAAAGGTCCATGGTCACTCTGCKRTGTAAGCTGAGCAAGGTGGCCCCTGTGGAGTGGAGGAAGGGGTCTGAGACCCTCAGGGATGGGGACCTGTACAGGCTGAGGCAGGAGGGGGCCAYGTGTGAGCTGCAGATCCAGGGCCTGACTGTGGCAGAGGCTGGGGATTACTCGTGCATGTGTGGGCAGGAGAGGACCTCGGCCACGCTGACCGTGAAGGGTAATGGCCACTGTGGCTTCCCCGTGCCTCCTGTCTCCTGTCCCCTTATCAGGTGGACTATGGCTTCCCTGTGTCTCTTGATGATGTCCTCTGATTCCCTGCCAGCCTTCTGGGTGGTCCCTCCCAGGTGTGCTCCAGGGATGTCCTGGGCCAGAGTCAGAGTAGACTCCAGGGGTGCAGGGCAGAGACCTGGGGAGCAGTAGTGAAGGGCTGCTGCCTTGGTCCACTCAGGCTGCTCTAAGGAGGTGCCACAGACTGGGTGGCTCAAAGGACAGGGGCATGTCTCTCCCAGCTCTGGAGGCCATCGTCCATCACAGCTTCTCAGCAGGGCTGGTCCCTCCTGAGGCCACTCCAGGGCTTGCAGATGCCATCTTTCCCCCTGTGTCCTCATTTCTTCCTCTATGGGTACTGGTCACCCTGGATTTGGGCCACCTGATGACCTTCTTCCTCCTTGAACAGTCATGTTCTGAGATGCCAGGTTAGGACTCCAACCTGTGGCACCCACCAGTGACCCCCAGGTTCAGGTCCTTCTCACATGCAAAGTACACTGAGTTAGCCCCACCCAGCATCCGACCTTGTCCAGTTTCATCTGAATGTCCCCAGGTTGAGACTGGGTTCCAGCTCACCCCAGGGCAGAGTTCCTCCCTGGCTGTGACTAGAGCTAGGCAAGGCACGTGCTTCCAAAGCGTGGTGGGCCCAGTGTGGGACAGACCCTGAGAGGAGCAGGAACAAGGATGTGGGTCATGAGTCCAGACAGTTGGGAACAGCAGGACCAAGCTCCCTGGATTTCAAGGCTGGACAGCGCTCTACTTTGACTTGGTGCTCTGTCCTGCAAACCTACCAAGGTTGAAGTCTGCCCCAGCCTGAGTGGAGCTGGCCGGTCCTCTGAAACTGAGCAGGGGACAGCCTCATGCTCTTCCAGGCCTGTGGCAGTGGTACTCCCGCCACTCTGACCACCTTCATGGCCGTCTTTTGCTTGAGGGGAAGCCCATGTGTGTGGCTAGTGGCTGTGCTCATCCTGTGGCAGCGTCCTTCATTTCACTTGACTGCTGTCCCTGCAGTCCACACTGCCAGCATTCCTACTGCTATAACGTTTTCAGCCAGACGTGGTGATCCATGCCTGTAATCTGAGTGACTCAGGAACCTGCAGCAGGAGGATGGAAAGTTTGAGGCCAGTCTCGGCAACTTAGTGAGGCCCTAAGCAACTTAGCAGGACCCTGTCTCATATAAAAACTCAAAAGGGCCGGGGATGTGGCGTGGTGGTAGAGCACCCTGGGTCCCATCGCCAGTCTCCAACCATGTGTGTATCTTCAGGACCTCTGTTCTGCCTCGCAGTTGGCGAGTGTCACGCCTCTGGCACGCGTGTCCTGCGCAGGGCTTTCCTGTTACCCTTGGCAGTCTTGGCTCCGGGGGAGGAGCTGCCTGGTCACCAGCCACCCATGAGTCCCCTTAGCAGGTGCTCAGCCACGCCTGATGCTCTCAGGGCATCTCCCACTCTCTTCACTGTGGATCCAGGTGTTTTCTAAGTGTTTGGGGCTGGTTCCTTGTTGATGGACAGTTCTGCCTTCTCACACTCTCCTGTGAGCCATAGGGAGACAGCAGGCCATGCCTGCCACACTTGGCTTAGCTGTCTCCCAGCTGGACATCCACCTGGTCCTGCTGTTTCCCACTGCTGCCCTCCACAGAACACTGGAGCACAATCTGGCCACTTCTGTGCCACTTCATAGCTAGGATCACCTTTCTTCCACTCCCCAGGAGTGTTTCCCTGTGTCCATCTAGTCCTGGCCAGAAGCACTGTTAGTGTCTGTATTTCCTCTGTCAGGCCCTTTCTGGCTAGCTGGGATTTTTCTAGCATATACCTCAAAAGTCTTCCAGACTCTGGCCGCCATCCAGCTCCAAAGCCGTTTGTAGTTCTTGTGGAACCTGCTGACAGTGTGGCTGGAGCCTGCAGTGAGAATCCTACTTGTGAGGCAGGGAGGCTCACAACTGGGAGCTGCCTCCCACAGGGTCCAGGGAGAGGGGTCACCGCGTGGTACAGACGTGAGCTCACAGCTCTAGGCACCTGGTGTGCTTCCCAGCAATGAGAAGTTGTGGGTGGGCAAGATGCCCTTGAAGAAGGAGGACCTGGAACGGAGCCCTGCTCCCAGCCACCTGATCAGGAGCAGGCGCATGCAGGACCTCACTCAGACCCTCACGGATCTCCCACTACTGTGACCCTCCAGGCGTCCTGCTTTATTTTCCTTCCTTGATGTTTGGGTCTTGACCTCAGAACCTGCAGAAGGTTTGATGGCCTCTGTCCATGTGATCCTTCCTAGCCCTGCCTGCACGATTCACTGAAAATCTGAAGTCCAGGGAGGCCATGGAAGGGACCACAGCCACACTGAGGTGTGAACTCAGCAGAAAGGCTCCTGTGGAGTGGAGGAAGGGTGTGAAGACCCTCACCAGTGGGGACAGACTCCGCCTGAGGCAGGACGGGGCTGTGTGTGAGCTGCAGATCTCCGGCCTGGCCACAACTGATGCTGGGGAGTACTCGTGCGTGTGCGGGGAGGAGAAGACAGCAGCCACATTGACCGTGAGGGGTAAAGACTACGTGGCAGAATAGATCTGTGTTCTGGTGTCCACATACTGACTTCATGTCAACTGTCACTCAGTCTACCTTCTCTTCCGGGTCTGTGGCACCCTCTTACCCCTGCATGGGATTGTAGCCAGCTGGTCTGTCAGTCTGTCTCTTGTCCTCATTATTGTCATGTTCTGTCCCCTGAATTTCCCCAACACACCTGAGGTTCTTCATGTGTTTCAGACCCTCCCTGGCCTTGCACGTCAGGTTCACAGGGAGGCCTGCAGAGGCCACAGAGTGGGCCAGGGCCACATGTGCTCAGGCTGCATTGGGGAAAGATGAAGGCCCTGGTGCTCAGCACACCCAACAGGGGGCTTATGTACAGATGCGTTTCATGTCCTTTCTGTTGTCCACGTCCATCCTCTCCACGTGCCTGGAGAGCATGATAGCATCCATGTCTTTCTGGCCCCCAGCCCTGCCTGCCAGGTTCACAGAGGGTCTGAGGAATGAGGAGGCTGTGGAAGGGGCCACGGCAATGCTGCAGTGTGTGCTGAGCAGAGAGGCCCCTGTGGAGTGGAGGAAGGGTGTGAAGACCCTCACCAGTGGAGACAGACTTCGCCTGAGGCAGGACGGGGCTGTGTGTGAGCTGCAGATCCAGGGCCTGGCCCGGGAAGATGTCGGGGAGTACTCGTGTATATGTGGGCAGGAGAGGACCTCGGCCACGCTGACAGTCAGGGGTAAAGACCTCGTGTGGCCATGTGAACCTCCAGCTGGTGTCTTTACCCTGTCTCCGCCTCCTACCTCCTGCATCCACACACGGCCCAACTCCTGTGGCAACCCCGTGGCCACCTGTCCTTTCCTCCCCTGGGCTTCTTTCACCTCTCCTTCTCGTGTCCATGTCCATCCTACTGCGTACTCTGTTCCTCTGTGGTTACTTGCTTCCTTCCTCATCTGTGCCACCACCCACCTGTCCACACCATGGTCCTCTGGCAGTGTGTGGCCCCATGTTCTCAGTGACCGCTTGGCCCTCCTCAGCCCTGCCCGTCAGATTCATAGAAGATCTGAGAAGCCAAGAGGCTACAGAAGGGTCCACGACCACTCTGCGGTGCGAACTAAGCAAGGCAGCCCCCGTAGAGTGGAGGAAGGGGTCTGAGACCCTCAGAGATGGGGCCCGGTATAGGCTGAGGCAGGAGGGGGCCACGTGTGAGCTGCAGATCCAGGGCCTGACTATGGCAGAGGCTGGGGAGTACTCATGCGTGTGTGGGCAGGAGAGGACCTCAGCAGTGCTGACCGTCAGGGGTAAAGACCTCCCATGACTGTGGGCTTGTTTGGGTTTCTGCCTTTGCTCTGTGTCCAGCCATGGCCATGCTGCCCCTGTTGTCCAGAGGGAGGGTGCCCTTTCCCTCTGTCTCATGCTGTTTCTCTGTCCTGCTTGGATTTCTG